ATGCGGAACATTTTCTTAATAAACTTTGTTATGCCAATTGACCTAGATGTCCCCTGAAAGCATGGTCTCCTGACCCCCTCCCCTGCTACTCTGTCCCTCAGAGTGTTTGCTTGTATTCAGGAAACTTCTTAGCTTTGGTTTAGTCCAGTTGTGCTGACTTCCTCTGTAGTGTGTGCTGTCCTTCCCTTCACCTAAGATAATTCTTATCTGAGGGTAAGAATTTTTGTCTTTTTTGTTCACAGGTGCATTCTTAATGCTTAGAACAGTGCCTAGCACGTAGTAGATGCTGATAAAAATTAAATTCAAAAGAGGTTGATATTTAGATATATTTATATGTATTTTAGGAGGAGGGGATAGTGATATTTTACAAATGGTTAAAAATAGTAGTGTTACTAATGTCTCTGGATTTTATGTGCTTAGTTTTTATATGAGTCCCACCTATGTAGAAGATAAAATTCCAGAATCAGGAAACAGAGATGTCAAGAAAACCAGTCTTAACTTTGTATATGTTTTTATTTAACTTATTAAATTTATTACCTGTTAATGCTATATCTTTAAAGATTTTTGGCAAATTTATAGCAATATGCAAAGAACATTATATATTTTTGAACATCTGTTCCATCTTAGTACTTGTCTATCTTAAAGTGACCTTCTATTTCAAGTGGGTGAAGTAGGTCCATGTGTATCAAGCGGCCAGGTGAGGGGGATGCCTGTGACTGATAGAGTTCTGAAGAGTTCTAAAGTATTTCCAATTACTAGGTCTTCTGGATAATTAAAAACTGGTTAATCTCCAAAATTAATTTATAACATTCTTTTAAAAATTTCTGAATAATAATTTATGTAAAGCAAAATAGACCTACATTAGGTCAATTTTCTTGGGAGTCAAACTTCTGCTTAGAGAATTTCTAATATGATTTGTTTGAATATTGCAATATTCTCACTCCTTTAAATATTAATACTTGAATTTTTCATTTGGATCATGACCTTGTAAAAATTAGGAGTGAGAATTTATAAAGAAAAACTAATGAAAACAGTTCCGTTTATCATTCACAGGACTTTGCAAGATGATAATCCAGGTGGAGTCATTCTTAGTACTGATGATTATTTTTACATAAATGGACAGTACCAGTTTGATGTAAAATACTTAGGAGAAGCACATGAATGGAACCAGCATCGTGGTAAGCATAGACATCAGATTCTGGGTAATACTGAGAATAATATAAAGCAGAAATTCACTTGGCATTTGTATTTTGAGAGACACATAACTTTTAAAAAGTTAAAATATACATGCAAAGTATATTAATTCTTATGTTACCTAGTAAGACATAAAAGAGGTAGTCTTAGCTCATGGAGTTGTTATGAGGATTTTCTACTTGGCTCGCAGAAAAGCTCAGGGAAGTTATAGTTGTCTGGTGTGTTCTGGTTTCTGTTTCCTGAAAACTGAATTTGCATTGTTAACCATTAGGCTTCCCTAGGTTGGTCTTAATTCTTATGGAGGGTAGTGTGAGAGTAAAATTGGCTCTCCTCCAACTGAATCTGTAGAGGGATCATAGGTAAAACCTTAATTTCCTTGCTAGTACTACTACCTAGTCACGGAAGATGAGTTTATCATTAAATGTTTAATTATTTGCATAATTTGAATTTTATGTGGGTAATTCTTATTTAGACATACAGACTGTATTTAACTTAGCTTTTATGATAAATGTGCTGTGAAGGGGATTCTTCAGCTTGCCATCTTTTTTGTTGTTGGGTGCCATTGAGTTGATTCTGGCTCACAGCAACCCCATGTGACAGAGTAGAGCTGCCCCATAGGGTTTTCTTGTCTGTAATCTTTATGGAAACAGATTGCTAGGTCTTTCTGCCACAGAGCTGCTGGGTGGGTTTCAGTCGCAGCCAAGCACTTAACCATTGTGCCACCAGGGCATTGTTAAATTTTTCTGTACTCTTTCTTGAACTAAAAATTAAAGTGAGAACTCAGGAATATGAAAAACACCAACCCAAAACTGAAAATAAAGGAAGCAGTATGATGTGATGAAGAGCAACGCTGGATTTGCCAGTTATTAGCTGTGTGATCTTGTTCAAGTTACTTATACTGTCCAAGGCCCATCGTCTTCATCTGTAAAAGGAGATGATAATACTTAACTCCCAGGATTGTTGTAAAGATTGAATGAGAGTGAAAAGTGCTTAGTACTGATTCAACATGCCCTTACAACAGCAACAACCATAGCAATACTAATAACAACATTAAATGAAAACAAGCCTGTTGCTACCAAGTCTATTCTGACTCATAAATGACCCTATAGCACAGAGTAGAACTGCCCCATAGGGTTTCCAAGGAGCTGCTGGTGGATTTGAACTGCTGACCTTTTGGTTAGCGGCCATAGCTCTTAACTACTGTGCTTAATAGTAAGACTGTTCTTTAAAAATAGGTTTATTGAGATATAATTCACATGCTATATAACTTACCCATTTAAATTATATAATTCAATGGTTTTTAGTATATTCAGAGTTATGCAACTGTCCCCACTATCAATTTTAGAACAGTTCATCACGCCAGAAGAGACCCTATACCCATTAGCAGTCATTCCCCATTTCCCCCAATCCCTCCTGCCCTAGGTAACCACTATCTAATTTCTGTCTCTGTAGGTTTGCCTATCTTGGACATTGCATGTAAATGGAATCATATAATATGTCTTCTTTTGTAGCTGGCTTCTTTCACTTAGCATAATGTTTTCAAGGTTCATCCATGTTATGGCATGTATCAGTACTTCATTCCTTTTTATGGCTGAATAAAATTCCATTGTATGGATATGCTACATTTTATTTATCCATTCATCAGTTGATGGGCATTTGAGGTTGTTTCTACTTTTGGCTATTATGAGAAGTGCTGCAGTGAACATTGGTGTAAAAGCTCTTGTGTGGTTGGATGCTTTCACTTCTCTTGGGTTATATACCTAGGAGTGGAATTGCTAGGCCATATGGTAATTCTCTGTTAACCTTTTGAGGTACTGCTAGACTGTTTTCCAAAGCTGCTAAACCATCTTACATTTCCAACAATAGTTTATGAGGATTCCAGTTTCTTCACATCCTTGCCAACAGCAGTTATTGTCTGTCTTTTTGATTCTAGCTATCCTAGTGAGTTTGTGAAGTGGTATCTCATTGTGGCTTTGGTTTGTATTTCCCAGTGGCTAATAATGTTGAGCATCTTTTTACGTGCTTATTAGCCATTTGTATATTTTCTTTGGAGAAGTATCTATTCAAGTCCTTTGCCTATTTTTAAATTGCATTATTTGTCTTTTTGTTATTCAGTTGTAAGAGAATAAGCAGAACTTTTAAAACTTCCGAATAACTTCCCTGTGAGACTTATTTGTTGTGGTCATCATTAATTTTCTGAACTGTCTAATTCCTTGGTAGAAATAATGTAGATAATATAAGAAAAGCCCTTGCACAACAGTATATGATAATGTTTACTGTATTTCAAATCATTATATCTTTTTTTAAAAAATCTAAATGAATAATTTTTTTTTTCTGTTAATAAGGATCAGCACAAAGCTGGTTCCTATGAGGAGGAAGTTAAAGATGTCCCAAATGTCCAGCTTTTCCAAATTGCTGTACCACTCTGTCATCTCTAACATCAACTACTCCTCCTCCCCTCAGTACTCTGCCTCCCGTCTTTGGGTTTCATAATTTGCTGCAACATCTCACAGAACTCATGAACCCTATCAAGGAAATGGCTCACGTCGTTGTGGAGACTAGCAAGTCCCAAATCCATGAGTCAGGTGTAGGCTTCTCCTAACCCATGTGGCTGCAGGGGCTGACAAACCCCAACTGGCAGGTCAGACCACAGGCTGCTGGCTTACAAGGCTGTGGAAGCTGGCGAATCAGGTCAGATGATAGGTCACTGACCCACAGGGCTGCAGAAGCTGGTGAATCCCAGAATCAGCAGGTCAGATGGCAGGCCGTAGGCTCAAGTCCCAAAAACCGGAGGTCAGACAGTGACAAACTGGAAACAGGATCCAGATGCAGAGAGAGAGAGCCCCGCCAGAGCACCCACATATATACCTTGGATGTAGGCCACACCCTAGGGAAGGGAGTAATTTGAGTAAGGGCCAGAGTTGAGCCATACCCTCTTGCAAGGCTGTGACTCAAGATACACTCCACACTAATTCTACCTCATTAACATATGAAGGTTAGGGTTTACAACACATAAAATGGAGAATAAGTGGTATAATTACATCATATCACAAAATGGAGGACAACCATACAATATTGGGAATCATGGCCTAGCCATGTTGACACATAACCTAAACCATCACAGATTCCATATACCTTATTTGCATAGTCCCACTCAGTCATTGTGTGTAAGTCACAAAGACCATGGCTAGAAGGGCCATATTAAGTAATTCATTGTACCTTATTATCTATTTTTTAAAAAAATTTTATTTTGGAATAATTTTAGGTTTATGGAAAAGTTACAAAGATAGTTCAGACAGTTTCTATAGATCCTTCATCCAGTTTCCCCTGATGTTAACATTTTATATAACTGGTACATTTGTCAAAACTATGACAATTAGCATTGATCCATTACTATTAAATACACTACAGTCTTTATTTGGATTTCACCAGTTTTTCTACTAAAGTCCATTAGTTCAGAATCTAATCCAGGATACCATATTGTTTTTAGCATGATGTCATTTTTAATGATAATTCTTTTTTTCATTTTATGCTCTTTATACATGTAATGTCCCTGGGTGGTACAAACAGTTAAGTACTTGGCTATGAGCCTAAAGGTTGGTGGTTTGAATCTACCCAGAGGTGCCTCAGAAGAAAGACCTGGCAATCTCCTTCCATAAGATTACAGCCACTGAAAACCCTATGGAGTAGAATTCTGCTCTGAAACAGTGGGTTTTTTAAAAAATTTATACATGTGATACACAGATAAGCTTAGATCAGATAGTTCTTATTTAATATTTTTTCTGATTATTACATAACTTTAGTATTATTTATTATGCCACATTTACCTGTATTTTAATTTTTCATATATTCAAAAGTGATATTTGAAAATAGAATAGTGAGTAAAATGAGCACACGCCTACGTTTTTTAAATTATGAAAACAAGGTCAGACTTCTAAAAAATCAAGATGATATTGAATATTATTAAAATGATTTTTTATTTTGTTTATTTGTGTTTTTCAGCAAAAGAAGCATTTGAGAAGAAAGTATCTCCTATAATAATAGATAATAGAAACCTACAGGCATGGGAAATGAGACCATATGTTGCTTTGGTTTGTACCATAAATTGTCATAAGTCTATGATCATGAGTTTGAAGTTATTGGGGAATGTTACTTACACAAGAGAATCTCGTCAAACAACCCTTAGACTGTCTGTAACTGAGCTTTCTCTGGTCCTAAGCAAAATAAGACAAATAGGACAGTATAGCTAAGTTATTCCATAAAGCTAAATTTATTCAGTTTCTAAATTCTGAGTGTTTGTTCTTGTTTTTTGGGTCTTTTATGAAAACATAATTTTATGTTTTTGTATGTATATATATTTTTTCTTAATGCCCTTACTTGGAAGAATAAAAGTTTGGTTGTTCTTCGTTGTTCCCAGAATTTCTTTTGAAATTTTGCTATTTTGAGAAATTCAGAATTCTGTAAACTAAGCTGTCTGCAGTTCTCCAAATTTGCCAGATTCCTTTTAATATCCAGCCCTTTGTGTGTGCTTCTCCCTTTGCCATTCCTCCGTCCTTCCACTTTTACCTTGGTTATATTTACTTAAGGAGCCCTGGTGGTGCAGTGATTAAAGCACTCGGCTGCTAACCAAAAGGCCAGCGGTTCAGACACACCCGTCGCTCTGCGGGAGAAAGATACGGCAGTCTGCTTCCGTGAGGATTTACAGCCTTTGAAACCCTATGGGGCAGTTGTGCTCTGTCCTATAGTGTTGCTATGAGTTGGAATCGACTCACTGGCATTGAGCTTTTTAATATTTACTTATTCTTTTTGCCCAGCTTTGACATCACCTAATTCAGGAAGTTATCAATCGTTATAATTTACTAAACGGCTGAGTTAGATACTCTTTCTGTTTTCATGGCATCCTGGCTTACTCCTGTCGTAGCAATAACCACCCTGTTTTTAATCATTAGGCCAGAGGTTGGCTGACTTTTTTTCTTTTTTTTTTTTAGTATTTTATGTTTTAGGTGAAAGTTTACACAGCAAATTAGATTCCCATTCAATAATTCATACACAAATTGCTCTGTGACATTGGTTACAATCCCTGTAATGTGTCAGCACTTTCATCAATTCCACCCCGCCTGCCCCGTTTCCATCCATCCAGTTTCCCTGCCCTCCTTGCCTTCTCATCTTTGCTTCTGTGTAAATGTTAACCATTTGGTTTCATATAGTTGATTGCTTAAAGGTGGATAACTTTTTCTAAAAAGGGCAGGATAGTAAATATTTCAGGCTTTGCAGGCCATATACAGCTGTTGCATATTTTTTTTTTTTTTACAACCCTTTAAAGATAGAAGCATTACTCTTAGCTCACAGGCTGTAAAAACACTGGCTAGATTTGGCTCTAGACCATCTCTCTGTTCTTGAGGGTAGTGTTATGTTTTATTCATCATTGAATCTCCAGGATATAGCTTGGTGTATAGTAACCATATATTCACTGGGCATATGTTTGTTGAGTGAAGCTTTTGTGAGTATGAGTGTGTTTTTTGGGTTATTCCCCAGGATTACCACTTGCCTGGCACATGGGAACTCAATTAATGTTTCCTTAATGAGTGAATGTTGTACTTCCTCTTCTAAGTCCTCAACACATTGAGCCTCTGTTTATCTTCTTTCCTGTGTCTAGGGCACTTGTGCTGTTTTGAAGGTGAGACTCTTCACTTTTATGAAGAAAATTATGTCTTTTGATAGCAAATGAGATTTATTTCTGGACAAGGAAACAAATACTCAATTTTAGTGCATTGGGAGCTGAAATTAGGTTTGCTTTCTGGCCTAAGGAGTGTTACTATCTGGACTATATTCACTATGGAGTCTTGCTTTTCCCCCTTAACGTTATATGACTTCTCTGAAGATCTTTCTTAGATTCCTGCTGTCACCTGAGAAAGTTCTTTAACCTTTATTTTCCTAGGTAGAAAATAAACAAGGCCTTGCATTGCCATCTTTCTCATTTTCATTTTGCCTTCCGGCTTCTATGTTGCCCTTTTCTCTTTTTTCTTATATGGTAATTGAAAACATAAAGCTCTATTGTGTCAGTATCAATTCCTTGGCTCTTCCCAACCCTACTTAGAAGTATAAAGGATTCTTGCTTATCATAGAATACCAAACTAATTTTTTTCTTTATAAACAAGTAGATGCAGGAGTTACCATGGGGGGGGGGTCATTTTTCATTTCTTTTTTGGTAGCAAGATAATGAGAGCTGTGGGAAAAAGAAATAGATTGGAAATAACAGTTGTTACTACCTTACTGTCATTTACAGAAGTAGATAAGTAGTGAGTTAGGATAAACAGGGGCAGTCAAATACACTTAATGGCAACTGGCAAACTTAATACTTTGCTTTTTAAAATATATATTGCTCCCATTGTGAGCTGTCATACAGTCTGACACAAATCAGGGAGAATCCTCTCAAATAGTACAACACAAAGATTTGCCTGCCGATATGGGAGTTGAGAAGGTCTTTGCATTTAAAATTAATTTGATGCTAAGAGTTACATGACACCTCTTTAGGTAGTTAGAGACCCCGGCTGTTGCTAGGCTTTGAATAAGTTGTCTGAAGTTTGGTGCTGAGGTGTGGAGATACAAGTGTCTGGCCTCATAACAGGGCATTATGTTTCTTCCTAGCTTGGTGTCTGGGTTGACTCTTGGGCTTTTTTGTCAGTAATGAGAAAAAATAGTAATGGCCTTTTGGCATCTTGTCGTAAAACTGAGGGGAGGGGTAGTAAGTGATAAAGGCAGAGATGTAGTGGGGGTTGGAGAGATGCTGGGGCCAATTATGTAGGGAAGGTGGAGTCAAGAGTAAGAGAAATGACTGCATGCCTGTTGATACAGATGATTCAGGAGGGAGGGAAAGAGTGATGCCCCAGAGACGGGAATTGTTGAGCTCAATTATCCTTGAGTCGGAAAGAGGAGATGTATCTAATGCACAAGTGTAGGGATTGGCTTTTAGACTGGAGCCGTATTAAAGCTTTGAAAAGTCTTAACTATTATTTAAAATAGTTTTGAAATTATAAAAGTCATACACATATATGATAAAAATTCAATCCATAAAAAAGAATGCCTTAAGTTCTACCCTGAAAGATGTTTTAATATTTTGAGAATCTTTCCAGAAATTTCCCCCATATGTACAAAAGTGTGAATAATCCTTTTTTACCCAAATGAAAATTTTCTATCTTATTTTCTTAATTTATTTTAAGAATCTTCTCTCATTAATACATACAGTATTAAAAAATAACTATACAATATTCTCATTGTATGGTTATACCTTCATTTATTTAGTCAGTTTCATATAAATAGCCATTGAGTTGTTTGTATTCTTTTGCTATTACAAAAAATGGTGAACTGGGTATTCTGGTGTATGTGTGTATGTATTATATATATTGTGCTTTTAAGTGAAAGTTTACAGCTCAAGTTAGTTTCTCATACAAAAATTTATACACACGTTGTTATGTGACCCTAGTTGTTCTTCCTATAATGTGACAGCACACTCTTCCTTTCCACCCTGGATTTCTTGTGTCCATTCAACCAGCTCCTGTCTCTTTCTGCCTTCTCTCCTTGCCTCTGGACAGGAGCTGCGCTTTAGTCTCATGTATCTACTTGAACTAAGAAGCACACTCTTCACGAGTATCACTTTATGTCTTATAGTCGAGTCTAATCTTTGTCTGAAGAGTTGGCTTCGGGAATGGTTTTAGTTCTGGGTTAACAGAGTCTGGGGGCTATGTCTTCCAGGGTTCCTCCAGTCTCAGTTAGACCATTAAGTTTGTTCTTTTTACTAGAATTTGAGTTCTGCACCCTACTTGTCTTCTGCTCCATCAGGGACTGTCTGTTGTGTTCCCTGTCAGGGCAGTCATTGGTGGTAGCTGGGCACCATCTACTTCTTTGTTCTCAGGCTGATGGAGTCTTTGGTTTATGTGGCACTTTCTGCCTCTTGGGCTAGTATTTTCCTTGTGTCTTTGGTGTTCTTCATTCTTCTTTGCTCCAGGTGGGTTGGGGCCAGTTGATGCGTCTTAGATGGCCACTGGTGTATGTATATTTTTGCAGTCTTATGTAAGTATTTATCAGTAGGATAAATTCTGGAAGTTAATTGCTGGGTCAAACGAGGTACATTTTACCAGTGTAACACACCCATCAAAATTAGATAATCTTTTAGGTTCTTTCAGTTTTAACATGCTATGAATTTGGAAAAAATGAATTTAATTTCATGGAAATAATTATTTTAAAATGTTTTTCTTTCTCTTGTATGTAGTCTCAAAAACATAAGTATAAAGTCCTTTTCCGGGAACCAGACACGTGGTGGAAGTTTAAACCAAGGGAACTTGCAAGGTAAAACCTGGAGGATATCTGACGTTTTTTATTTCATGACACTAATAAAAAGCCCATCTAAACTTTTTTCGCCTTATAAATGATGAATGAAACAAAATGGATTAGATTGCAGTTTTGCCACTTAAAATTGTAAACAAATTTTGCATTGCCTAGAAACTTGTCTTTTTTCCCAGTTTTATAAAGAGTTTTTGTTTTTTTCTAAAATTAATTAAAAATTCCAATTGTCTCATATAGTCAGTACTTTATTACCTATTAACCACACACTGTTAATATCTGAAACTAGAACAGACCATAGGGTTTGGCTCACCTAAGCCATGTGCTCTTGGGAGAGACAAGTGATTGTAGCTGCCTTGTGATTGAGGAATACTGGAAGAAGGTAAAAAGGCAGAGATGGAAAAGGTAGCAAATGTCCAGCTGTCCAGGTATTTTAACCCCCCTCCTCCCCGTGCCTACCAAGGTTATACTTTTTTGTTTTTTTGATTGCTTGACTTGAATAAAAATGTTACTCAGGATGTGGACGGACAATAGTATCTGGTTTTGTGCTCTGTATTTCCTTAGAGATAACCCTAACTTAATTTTAGTCAGGGCGTTTCTTCCTGGTAATTTTAACTAATTTCAACACTAACTAGAGAACAACATGATTTTAGTATATTCACAATGTTGTGCACCATCACTGCTACCTAATTGTAGAACATTTCCTTCACCTCAAAAACCACGTACTGATTAGCAGTCACTCTCAATTCTTGCGTCCCTTATTTCCTGGCAACCACGATTCTACTTTCTGTTTCTTTAGATTTGTCTATTCTGGATATTTCATTTAAATATTATTATGCAATATGTTACCTTTTGTGACTGGCTTCCTTCATTAGCATAATGTTTTCAAGGTTCATCTATGCTGTAGCATGTATAAATACTCCATTTCTTTGCATATTATTCTTTATTCAGTATTGGATTTGGTTTTCTAACGCTCTGTTTTTGCATCTGTATGGTTGAGTGAGATTGACGTATAGTTTTTACTTCCTTGTCCTGCTTTGCCCGGCTTTGGTGTCACAGTTTTAGGAGTTTCACAAAATTCATTGTGAAGTGTTTTCTCTTTTTCTGTTTTCTGAGTTTACATAAGTTTGAGCATGTATTAGGAATTGCTTGTCTGATCTGATGTTTTCTTTGTGAAAATATTCAGTTGGAATTTGTTTACTATACCTAACTTTTCAAATTAATTGTAACATTTATAGTTTTTTCTTATCTTTAAATCTCTGTACCATCTGTACTTGAGTTTCCTTTTCAATCCTAATATGTTTATATTTATCTTCTTGACCTTGATTATTCTCACCAGAAATCAAATTTTTTTTTATTAGCTTTTTCAATTAAACAACTCTTGGTTTTGTTAATTTTCTCTATAGTAAGTTTATGTTTAATTCATTTCTACATCTCTTCCTTTGCTTTTTGAAAGAAAAATCTATTTTGCTTTGTTTATTCTATTATTTCTAAAACTCTTTTACTTGAAAATTTGGATCATTTATTTTTGATATTTTTTAATATGAGCATTTGATGCTTTAAGTTTCCCTCTAAGTACTACTTTAGCTGTTTCCAGAATTTATTATGTAAAACTTTTTGTTATCATTTAGTATTTTCTAAAATGCATTATTAATTTTATTCTTTAACCCCTGGGTTATTTGGAACTGTGCTTTTAAATGTATCTTTTTTTTCTTTAATTAGTTTTCAGTTTAACTGCACTAGGTCAGATTTTGTGGTTTGTATGATACTAATTCTCTGATATTTTTTAAGACTTCTTTTATGGCCTAGTTTATTGTCAATTTTTTTTTTTTTTTAAATAAACGTTCCATGTTTGCTTGACAACAATCTGTACTGTTTACAGGGTGTTAATATATCCATTAAATCGCCCTTGTTAATTCTGTTGCTCACATCTCCTATTATCTTTACTACTTTTTTTTTTTAATCGGCTTGATAGGTCAGTGTTTGAGAGGGATGGTGAAATCTCCCATTGTGAGAGAGGTGTGTTGAAATCTCCATTACATTGAATATGTCAGTTTCTTGTTCTACTTTTTTTGCTTTATATATTCTGAAGATATTTTGTTTAAGTGCATTCAAGCTTAGCGTTGTTATAGCACGCTAATGAATTGAATCTCTTATCCTTTTGTAGTAATTTTCTTTTATCTTTAATGCTAGTTTTGTCTTAAAGTGTAATTTGTCTAGTATAAAATAAAGCTATATCAACTTTGTTTTTATTATTATTTTAGTGTTATATCTTTTTCCATAACTTTACTGTAAATTTTTCAGTATCCTTATGTTTAACTCTATCACTTACAACTAGAATATGGCTGGGTTTTAAAAAATCCAGTCAATCTTTGGTTTTCAGTTGATAAGCTGTGTTACTTTATGATGATTTTGGTTATTTATGTTTCTTACTGTCTCACTCTGTGTTCTTTCTATTTATCTCACTTTTTCTGTGATTGTTTTTTCTCTTATAATACCTTTCTGGGATATAGTTGAATTTTTTTCTCCTATCATGCCTTATTTTGAGTCTTTTTTTTTTTTTTTTTAATTGGTTGAATACAAATTTTCTTATTCAATTTTTTCTTCTCTTCTAATTTGGAAATTATATACCTTATTTTTACTCTTTTAGTGGTTACCTTATAAATTTTATGTAAAATTTAAGTCTAAAGTTAATCTATTTCTTAGCCTGCCTCCTCACAAGGATTTCCAACATTTTAACTCTGATACTTACCTCCCTTCCAGCTTACATGCTATTGTTGTCCAGAGTATATGGACAATGTTTGATTTTACTTACTCATGTAGTTATCACTTCGTGCTTCATTTTTTTCTTGTGTCCTAGATGTTTCATCTGGGAATTTCCTTCTGCCTCACGTTCATCTTTCAGAATATTCTTTTTAGTGAAAGTCTGCTTGGTGAGAAATTCTTTTTTTTTTTTTTTCATCTGAAAATTCTTTTATTGCCCTCATCCTTGTAATATATTTTTGCTACTAGGTATATATATTCGAGATTGACAGTTGTTTTTTGTTTTTGAAGATAACATTTTATTCCCTTCTGAGTTGCATTATTATTCTTGTTAAATTAGCTTCATTCTAATTGTTGGTTCCTTTGTAGATGACATGGTCTTCTTTTTATTTCTGGTTGCTTTTAATGTCATCTTTTTGTCTTTGGTGATTGAGAATTTCATACTATGTTTCTAGTTGTTGATTTCTAATTATTTATCTTGTTTGGGATTTGTTTGGCTTCTTAAATCAGGGAATTGATGTCTTTCATCAGTTATGGAAAATTCTAAGCCATTTTTCTTGAAATTGCCTCTGTCCCATGCACTCTCTTTTTTCTTTCTGGGACTTAAAGTAGACACACACTAGACCTTTTTGCTCTGTTCTCCATGTCTATGTCTCTTAAACTCTCTTTCATATTTTCTATCTCTTTGCTTCTCTGTGATCTGAAACCAGATAAGACTGAGGTAGGTAAATATGAAAGCCAGTTTTGCCCAGGTGGCAAATGCTAATATTAGCACTGGGATCTGGACACTAAGCTTTGGATGCAACCTGAGATAGGAGAACTGCAACTGAGATGTTTTCATTAAGATAAGACCCTTGAGGAACTAAAGCATGCCATCTAGCCTTCTGGCAGATGTAAATCCAAATGCTGTAAGAAAGCACCCCAGTTTAAGGCCTAAGGATTCCCGTATATTAGGTTCAACCAAATATGAGCTCATAAACAAAATCATACAAAGAAATAAGTTACCATGACTTAAAAGTACACATAACAAACTTCATATTTGAATACCCAGAGACTTCATACTAGGGATTTTTTTTTCTTTTATTTAAAATGCTTTAAGAAATAACCTTGCTTTAATTCACTTGGGATCTAGTTTTATTCTAACAGGAGGCCCCTTCAGAGTACCTGATCTGCCATATTGGCGGAACTGAAAGCCTCTGTAGTGAGATTTTTTACAGTGGCATGGTGTTTAAGAGCTAGGCCGCTAACCAGAAAGGTCAGCAGTTTGAATCTACCATCTGTTCCTTGGAAACCCTGTAGGCAGTTGTATTCTGTCCCGTAGGGTTGCTATGAGTCAGAATTGACTCGACTGCAACGGGTTTGGTTTTGGTTAGGTTAATAATTAAAGCCTTGAAATGATAGTTGTATTCTTGTGAGATTTTTGCAGAGCTTGAGAATAACTTCATTTAAAGTTTTTGGAGTCTACTGGTTTTTTCTAAATTCCTAAGGATATTTGGAAAAGATTGTATGGAATGATTAAGTAAATCATAATTTAAGAAATCCTGAATAAAATGATAATTAGAAGCAAATAGTATATATTGTGTCATGACAAACTACTATTTTTATGTATAACAAAATACCATGTTTTCCTTGACATTATTTTATTTTATTTTAACTGTGTTATCAGTATTTGTTCTACCTTTCTCTTCCCTGGAATTTTCAGGCGTAATATTCATGGGATAAGCAAAGAAAAAATAACAAGAATGTTGGAACACTATCAACGTTTTGTTTCAGTGCCAATAATCATGAGTTCTTTGGTTCCAGAGAAAATTGAGTGTGTTGAGTTATGTGTATATTCTTGTGAGGACAGAAGTACTAGGTAGGTTAAAACACCTTACCTGCAAAAAATTCAAGATTTTGGAGCTTGGGAAATGACTGCCGATTAACTTTAAAAATATGCTAGGCCTTTGTTATTTGCTGTGGTTTAGGTATAGTCTTACCTGGTTTAGGTATCGTCGTACCTGGTTTAAGATGTGTATGGTTAGCAAGAGAAGTAAAAATTTATATGAGAGATGACATGGAAGTTTTCTCATTGACCTCAGGGTTTTATGAGACCATAATTATACTATGAATATTCCTGCCTTCTTTTTGTAATTTAATCTGCTATTCTTCTAGTATTTTCTTTATCTCTTCTGTTTTTATTTCATATATCCTCATGTTACCTCTTAATTTTCTTAGATATCAGTAAAAGTACTTTCTTCAAACTAGTATCATAAAATTAATCATTAATGTAATACAAGTCATGGCCTTGTGGAAGTTTACAATCCAGGATAGTATTGATTCTGTTAATATTTAGGACATATAAACAATTAAATAAATAAGTGAATAAAGAAGAATCTTAAATACATATAGCAGTTTGAAACGCTCATATTTTATGATGGAAAGGGGTGGAGAATTGGGAGTAGGGAAGAGAAAATTTATAAATGTTCTTTTTATTGAGAAACAGTGTTGCTACGTGGTTAAGAGCATGGGCTCTTGAGCCATGTTTCCTGGGTTCAAATCCTAAAGCTCTTAAATCTTTGACAAATTACAAAATATCTGTATACCTAAGGCTCTTATTTGTAAAATAGCAGTAACAACACTCATTTCACAAAGATCTCATCAGGATTATGAATTAATATATGTAAAGGACTTAGTATTTGCAACAAAGAAAACTCAGTGTTAGGTATAATTTCACTTAGGATGGTTTCATGGGAGAGTTGGGACTTGGAGAGCTTCTGCTAAAGAAAGAAAGGAAGATGAGTTGACAAACTGAATAAGGAAAAACCATTGAAATTGAAAGTGTAATGATTAGGCAAAAGTTCTGTGAGTCTGAAATTGATATTGAGGATGGGTTTTTTAAATTCAACAAATGACGTATCAGAAGAGACCTTCCCCTTCTCACCCTCATTTCTCTTAATTGTGTAATTGGTAGACTGTTTGTGACTTTGTAGATAAAGTTTAATAGTTTCCCTCTGTAGCAAATGACAGATAGGTTGTATAGAGGCAGGACCTAGTTTCAAGTATGTTAAGCTTAAATAGGTCAGAAAGAAGTCAGGGAAGTGATGTCCTCTCCTGGGAACAGAATTTAGAGCCTTAACTTTAACATTTAATGCATAATGAACACCTAAACTAAAAATCTCCTATTTACTGTTCAATTTGAAAAAAGTTTGAGTGCTTTCTATGTGCTAAGCGTTGTGCTAGGTGCTGTGGTTACAACAAAGGGATGTGTTCATAGTGTCTTAGGGAAAGATCAAGAATAGCTTTTCTGATCTTAATCTAGTTCATTTCTAGCATTTTAAAAATAAATAAATGTGAAGTGCCCCTGTCTTTCAATTGATGCTTCTTTAATTTAAATCATTGTATTAATGGCACCATTAAGAGACTTCTTTATGATACTCTTTAAAAAAATCTTACAGCCCAAAAGACAACGAAGATACTACCTCTGCAGAAGAAGAAAATGTTTTATCCTCGTCTTTGAAGCACCTAGAGTTAACTGAAGAAAAGACACTTGAAGTGACAAATGAAACTGTGTTACCTGAGGATGTTTCATTTCTCCTTAATGCAGATTTAGACAAAGGAAGAAAAGAAATAAGTGGTATGAATCATGACATTCAGAGTGCTTTCATACAGGAAAGTCCAGACATGTGTTTTTCCGACTCTGAAAGCAAAGTACAGGTAATAGACAAAATAGAAAAAGAAGAGCAAGTAGAAATGGCTTCTGAAAAACAATGTAGTAAAACTGATGTAGATAGTTCAGTGGAGACAGTATCACTGAGTATTTACTATGATGAAAATAAGCAAGAGGACTGTAATCTTGCAAAGACTGTACCACTTCAAAACGAAAAATTTTTACCGGGTGAAGTACTGGAGGAAAGAACAACAGTAAAGAAAAAAGCCTTTGGGAAACAAAAAGGCAAATCAGCTTTGGAAAAGTTCCCAAGAGATGAGCTATCAGATTTTGTTGGTGACTGGCCAGTTGATAAGACTATTGGTCAAAGGACAAAAAGGAACCGAAAAACTGAAAAAGCATCATCTGTACAAAGTGACAAAAAGTATAATTGCCCTCAGTCATGCAAAGTATTAGGTGATAGTGTATCTCTGGATATAGATTGTATCCAGCAACGAAGATCTCCGCATGATAATGTAGAAGAAGACATGAAGTCACAGTGCGATGATGCTTCAGAATCCTTCAGTAGTTGTAAATATATTTTTACAAATACTGAAAAAATTATGTCAAACTCATTCAAGATTGTGGCTGACTGGCCTTCATCTGATTCGGCTGACTGGCCTTCATCTGATTTAGCTCAGAGACAGCGCAGATCAAGAACGCCAAAGGCTCGTTTCAATGAACCTGATCTAAAATTTGGAATCAGAGACAATATGAGTGAAATGTCCTTGTATACAGCACACGAGGCCTGTTGGGGCACAAGCCCTGAAGAACTAAAAACATTGGGTAGCTCCTGTCTAGGTAGTTCTGAAATGCTGTCCAGTGAAATGACCTGGGAGAATAAGATTTGTCTAAGTGAAAAGAATCATGGGCAACATGCATTGTGTCTGTCTTTTACCAATAGTGCGCCCATTGTTTCTGAAGTAGCGGAGCCACAAATTTTAGCTGAATTTCCAGAGGGAAAGTCTAAAGGAGTCCCTGGAATAGAAATCGGCTTGTGTACCCAGACTGAACCTCAGGATTTTGCTCTCTTATGGAAAATAGAAAGGAATAAAATTACTGTTTCGGATTCTGTTAGAGTATTAACAGGAAGACTAGATGGATTTAAACCGGAAGCCTTCAATATTAACACAAAATCAGATGTTCCAGAAACAATTCCGTATAGGGTGATGCATGACAAAAGCACATATGTTGAAGAAAGTGAGCTTACCAGTGCTGATGAATCTGAAAATCTTAATATTCTTTGTAAAATATTTGGATCCTTTTCATCAGAAGCCCTGAAAGACTTATATGAGAGGTGTAACAAAGATATTATTTGGGCCACAAGCCTTTTGTTAGATTCTGAAACTAAATTATGTGAGGATACTGAATTTAACAATTTCCACACATCAAATGATGGATCACAAACTGGGCCATTTTCTCTGGGGTTAGATCTGAAGGAAATTATTAGCCCAAGAGAGACGTTAAAGGGTTCTAATTCTGTTTCGGAATTTAGGCATGGAATTGATATCAGTAACGCTAATGCGAAGCATGCCTGTGATGGGGAAAAGGGAAACTCAGAGCAGGCAGAAATAAGGGCTTTAACTCCTACAGCTGCTGTAGATCTAAAGAATGCTAGTGAACCACTCTCTAATAGTCAGGGAGAATTTTCAGGTACTACCACTAAAGATGTGAGTGAAATGGAAAAAAGTCCAGTAGCCACAGAGGATGGAGACAGTATGCATTCTTCTTTGAATTGGTCTGATATTTTAAACTCTGTATCAAGCACTTCAAATCTCAAATTACATGAAGAAGTTTATTTTACTGACCCTTTTGAGGTAAAGAAAAATGAAAATCTTTCAAAAGATAGCGTGGAATTTCAGATACACGAAGAATTTATGGATGAAGATATGCAGGAAATGGAGAAAATTCTAATGGCAGGGAATAGTTGGTCACCTGGAGTTAGTGAAGAAGATAAAACTGAGATGTTGAATCCCACTCCAGTGATGGCCAAGTCTCTGACCATAGACTGTCTGGAACTGGCATTACCCCCTGAGTTGGCATTTCAACTCAGTGAATTATTTGGCCCTGTTGGTATTGATTCAGGTAAGAAAAAGTAAAATACCTACATGCGTATCTTAGTTTGAATACAATTTAGCCTGTTGTATTTTGATTATAAAATTATTTCGTGTTAACTGAAATGTAAAAATTATTTGTGTCGCCTGACTACACATAGTACATTATTTTTGATGCAACATGTTTATCGAGGATTTTTAAAAATGTAATTTTGAAGAAATAGGGAGTATTTATATGGAGTGTGTATAACTCATTATATTGAAAGTGTTCTTTGGCATTTACCTCACACTCATTTGTACAGATGAATCTTTTGTAGTCCTCTGGTGCTACTCCAGATGCACTTAAGGGAAGATTAATTCTGTAGGGCACACGTATTGAAAAGTATTGACTAGTGAAGATGAATAAATTTAGTATATTTAGACTAATGGAAATGAATAGATTAAATTTTATAATATTTATACTTCTATTTATAAGATAATATGATAATTCTAATGTTATTATAAAGCTTTGTGTAATCATACCAGCTTAGACATGTGAAAACAGTGGCATAATTACATAAACAAAAATATGCCAAGAAATTTAGTAACTAGAAACATGGATTAGTAATTGATAATATAAATTAGTTTTATGATATAGAAGGTGGTTGATTACATTTTCTGCAAATGTATAATGAGTAATGAGTATATTTTCTTTTTTTTCTCCCCTCACAAGGGTCTCTAAGAGCTGAGGATTGTGTGGTTCATATAGATCTGAATCTGGCTAAAGTGATTCATGAGAAATGGAAAGAATCTGTAATGGTTGGTAGGCTTCTTTTTATTAAGAGCTCGTTTTGTGTTCATTTTGTCACTTTTGATCTTCAATAAAATCTACTATGTTATATGAAAGAATTCTATTGCATTTTGATTTTTGACAGAGAGCGAACTTTTACCAGTTAACAGATTACTGTCTTTTTTTCCTCTTTCCAATATTTTAAATTATTTCCAGAGTGGCCAAATTATGTAATTAGTGATGGAACTCAATGTGATGGTTGATTTTTTTTTTCTAAAGGAAAAAAAAAACGTGAGTTTTTTACTCCCTAAATTAAATACTGCAATGCTGATCGATTAAATTTCAAAGTTTTTTTAAATTCAACAGAAGAGCTCTATAAGTAGAAAAATTATGTAGATATAGCTGTACTTTATCTAGCTAGCTTTATTGTTTTACTTAGATTTACTAAGAATAATTTCCAGTTATATAAGGGGAAATAATTTCTAAAGTAAAATAATATAACCTTGTTTAGTAATGTACCCCTCTTCGGCCTTGCATTTTTGTTTAGGAGAGACAACGACAAGAAGAAATATCCTGTGGCAGGCTTCTAGGAGGTAAAGTACATTATTTTTAACTTCTAATGTTCTTGTTTTGATGTTAAAACTTGGGGTGTGTGTGTGTATGGATTTTAATTCATTCTAAATGTATGTTCACAAAATATATTACCCAAGAATTTTTGATTTGCAAATAAAGTTCTTTAAAAAAATTTAACATTTAATGTTGTTATAAATTAAAATTTAAAAAACTTAAAGGAGGAATAAATCCTCTATAGCATATGTTTAACTTTCACGAGTGCTGTGAACACCTAAGATGTGCTCTAACACAGATAGTCAGGCTGCTTCCTGTTAAGGTTGTGCTTTTCATGAAAGAAAACTGTTTTGAGAGCAGTAAGGTAAAGGACATCATGCTAGGTAAAGTAGAGGGTCAGCGAAAAAGAGGAAGACTCTCAACGAGATGGACTGACACAGTGGCTGCAACAGTGGGCTCAAGCATAACAGCGATTGTGAGGATGCCTCAGTACAGGGCACTGTTTTTGTTCTGTTGTACATAGGGTCGCTATGAGTTGGAACCGACTCAATGGCACCTAACAACAACAAGGTTTTTATGTATTTATAGAGATTATCATTAAAATATTACTTGGTTATTCAAAATTTTTATTGACATTCATATTATTAGAACCCAAAAAATCAGCCTGCTTTTGTGCTGCATCCTGCCAATATTTGATTCCAGAAAACTTCTCTATGATAGTGTTGTCTTCAGTGATTGGTGCAGGATGGCAGACCTGTTAATACGGGTCCTCCTTTGGTGCGTGAGTTTCTTCATATGTGCCTTTGGGCCATTCCACACCGGAACCAAGGCAAGGAGCTCCAGGTTGAAGTTTCTTAGGATCTACTTTGTTCAAATTTGTGCTCATGCCATAGCTTCAACAGCTAAAGCTGTTTGAGGGATATAGGTACCAAAAAGGTATCAGGATTATGTGTATGCCAGTATCTGCCTGGAAAGCTAAGGAATATATCAGAATGTGTTGATATCCCTAGAGATGTTGAAATGTTACACATTAAATCCTGTTATTTTGAATTTCTTAAAATGTTCAGTTCCTTCCTTATGTTAGATATCATATGCTCAATATTTATTTTGTTCCTCCAGTGGGTCTTAGGTTTGCCAAAATATTTATCCTTTACATCCTTGGACTGGCTGGGCAGAGGCTGAAGCCACTAGAATGTGGAGCTGCTCTAGCTGATCACCTCTAGCTGGCTGCAGCCTCTTCTGTTTGAGTATCCTATATAGACTTTTCTATATATACATAATATATAGAGAGTCCCTGGGTGGTGCAAATGGTTAAGCGCTTGGCTACTACCTCAAAGTTGGTGGTTTGACCCACCCAGAGACATCTCGAAGACAGACCTGGTGATCTGCTTTCAAAAGGTCACAGCCTTGAAAACCCTGTGGAGTGCAGTTCTACTCTGCACATATGGGGCCATCATGAGTTGGAGCCAATGTGACAGTAATAAACAACAACATAATATATATGTTATATATATATATATATGTATTCTCTATATATGAAAGTCCTATATGTAATATATATATAAAAGTCCCTATGTAGACTTTTCATCATTTTCCACGTGTTGATGTGATATGACAAAGAGTCGGAAGCATTGATCGATTTACAATTAAACCGGGGTCATTGCTCATTTGAAATAGTCCCACATTTATGTATATTATTTCTTTCTTTCAATTATGTGAAGAAGATATATATGGAAATTTCAGAGTTGTGTTATATTTATAAGCTGAAAAGTTTAAAATGCCATGTTTCCTAGGTCTCTTTGAAGCAGATGCAACAGAGTGAATAATATTGCTTAATGTGCACATTTATTATTTAGACTATGACACTCTTTATACTGCTTTTATAGATCCTTCTCTGTTTGGGCATATTGATAATCCTGAACAAAAATCATCTCAAAGAACAGGCAAAAAATTACTGAAGACTTTAGCAGCATCTGAAATGCTACCCTTATTGGATCATTGGAATACACAAAATAAAAAAGTGTCACTCAGAGAAATAATGTCAGAAGAAATTGCCATACAGGAAAAGGAGAATTTGGTATGATTAGCATAAATATTAAACCATTGTCGTTGACTCTGGTTGATTGTGCATATTTACTTTGTGATTTCCTTTTGATTCTGTTATTTCCTACTCTGGAATCCATATTTAGCCCGATTGAATTTGATGTTAAAATTGAAAAATGTTTTAAATAATTTCAAAATCGAGGTTTTTGCTTTTGGGAAATTAGTTGATACTCCTATAAAAATAGGCTGTCTATGTTAAATCTGTGTTGTTTTCAATTTAATTTTGTAGGTCATTGAGCTACATTTTTTTAAAAATGTATCATTTGTGCCTTTAATTTTTTATTTCTAGAAAAATATGAAAGAAATCTTTCATTTACAGATAATTTCATACATAAATTAGTAATAAGAAATGTCTTACTATTGAAGTATCGTTCATCTTTGAAACAATATTTTAAAGAAAAATTCTAGAAACTTATGAATTGGAATTAAAAAAATTACTCTATTTTTTTCTAACTTCCAGTAAACAGATTCAGACAGAAACTTCACTTTACTTTGAACTTTGTATTTATTTATTTTTGTTCCTTATTTTAACACATCTAATTATTTGAAACCACAAGGGAATTGATTTCTTTTGCATTTCTTAGCCTTTTTTGGGATTCTGAAAAATTAATATTAGAGAATTTCAGAATCAAAAGAGAAAAGACCTTAGAAGTTAGTCAGTTCTCAAGGAAAGAAGTATTACTTGGTTGGTAATCTTAAAACATTTTTATACTCTTTCTTACTCATTCGACCGCGCAAAAGAGCACCGTTACATTTGACTGACATACATAGATTTGGGGCATGGGAGGAATGATAGAATTCCTTCACCTTCTTTTCGTTCTCCCAATTATCTTGTTTATTAAATTGGAAATATGCTACTATTCCCATCTTTGCATCTTTATATAATGCAAGCAATAATCTCTTCAATAGCATCTTACTATTTTAGTGTTGTTTCAAATATCCTCTTCACTTAATATGTATAATAAATTGGAGAAATGGATTTTCTTTTAAAAAACTAAGGAAAGCTTATGCCCAACTGGTGTGACACTTTTTGTTAAAATGCCCTTTTCCACTGCTGAAACTCTTCTTTATGGTTCTAACCTACCTTTTAGCCTCTGAGTATAATAATGAACAAAAGAATTTCTTTTGACTTACCAGTTTAATACATTTTTTAAAAAATCCATCATGTCTGCTTGTCTTTCTATGGGTTGGGTAATAGAATCTGGACAACACTGGTCCCAAGGACCCAGCCCCTTAGGTAGAACCTCAGAAAGATAATTTCTTTATGCTTTCTCCTCACTCTTTGTGCACAAAGGTGAAGTACACTTTGTACTTTTTTAAGCAAAGGTTATAAAACAAACCTTAGGCATAATATATGAATAGAATACTTAATTGTAAGATGATTACGGTTATGAGTTGTCAGTTCATTGATGAGACCTCAGAATTTATGGTTTAGAAACCATGACCTGGTAGATGGCTAATAAATCTGACCACTGTTTTTTAGTGAGTACAGATTATAATGCATATTTTACATAAAACTTACAGTATCTTTAATTGTTGAGGTGGCTTGTTTCCATCACTTTTGTTATGTGTCATGTGTTCAGCTTTACCAACCCCTTTTATTTGTCTGACTGTAACCCATCATGGTTCCTCTTTTATTGGTGTTGGGTGTTATAAATGACCTAGATATGGTTATGCCAAAAACAAACAAAAAATCAAATAACTATCCTAGGATTGTCCTGGGTTATTGTAAATTTAAGAATTTTTAGAGTCACCCTTGTTGCCTTTGAAATTTTATAGGAAGTTATCTTATTTTTCAGCATTAGGATCTTTGTAACAAACAAAAATATTATTTAGTTACATGAAAATGTCGAGTTGTCTTAGGGTTAGAAGTCACTTTAAGAATATTTGACCAAAATCCTAGACTAGAAGTGAAATAGTAAATTTTAGGAAAGTTTTCCGTCTAGTAATTTAAACAGGCATATCCAAATAGGACTTGTGAAAAATAATAGTAACAATTCTCATGTAGTTATTTTGAGGAATAAATATGTTTGTGAAAATTTTAAAGGTGCAGGTAATCCCCAACTTAAACGACAGGGTTCTGTTTCGACCACTCCATTGTAAGTCATTTCTGACGTTAAGTTGAATACCTCATTTTTTTTTTTTTTGTAAGTTTTCATTATTATTACCTTTTATTATCAGTATCTTTATAAATCCGATCTTTATTTGTCTTTGGGGTTGGCATGAGAATGATAACATCAGCAAATTATGTGCTTCAATATTGTATGTGTGTATTACTAACAATAAGATATTTAAAAAAAAAAAGGGTGGTTTTAAATGCATTTTGCTGTAACTCAAATACGTTATAAGTCAGGGACTACCTGTAATTGTGAATTCTAAGATTTTCTGCTAACCTGAATGTGAAACTTATTTTGTACATTGTAGTTTCTGCCCGTTGAGAATATGTTTTGAGGACGTTGTTCACAGCATTACACAGTGTCCCTTTTATGAGGATCTATTGTAGAAATTTCTCTCAGGTTTCAGTACCAGAAAAAACTGTACTTCTTCTAAGCAACTCATTTGTTTTTAGTTATGGACACTGAGAATCTTTGTTTCCCCCTTTGCTTTGGCCAGAAAGAAGCTCAGAGCTAAATTTGTCACCTACCTTTTGCAATGTAAAGGCTATTATATTAAAAATTCAAGGTACATATAATGGTTTGTAATAACAAATGGGTGCTACTTTGAGACACGCATCAAAACATTATTATTACTGTATTATGTTAAAGATGTTTTGGTGTATCTGGAAGTATTTAATGTTTTTATACACGGAAAGGTACACAATATATCATATTTGACTAATAGATATGAACTGTACCTAACTGTTCTGACTTATGTACAAATTTAACTTAAAGATAGATTTAGGAACGGAACTCGTTCATTATCTGGGGACTGCCTATAATATGAATGTGTGAGTGTGTATATGTGAGGGTATGTATATATATTTATATATACATAGACACATATTATGTGTGTGTATATAAGTATATATATGTGATTATACGTATATATATAGAGAGAGCAGTTTCAAATACTTCACAAAAAATGGGATATAAATAAATAAATAGTGCAAGAATACTTTATTACTAATCTCAGCCTTTAGTCGGTGAAGAAAGTCTGTGATTGCTTTTAAATTGTCATTTTGCAACACAGTAGCCATGCTTTTGGATCATTGTAATTAGTATTATAAATTCTATTCTTAATGGTGATTTTTGTGTTTTTGCTTTAGAAAAGGGAGTCCCCTATGTTTGAAAAAGGTTTTGCCACCAAACTGAAGGGGAAGCAACTCTTCGAGATATTTCCAGCCATTAACCAAAATTTTCTGATGGACATTTTCCAGGACCACAAGTGAGTGCTAGAAGGATTGTCTCTGGTTTCTTCTGTCATGGCACTGAAAGTGTATCCCATATACTTTAACCCTTTATTTTTTTAAATAAATAAAAGTAATATACCCATAAAACCCCTTGCTGTTGAGTTGATTCCAACTCACAGCAACCCTATAGAACAGAGGAGAACTACCCCACAGAGTGTCCAAGGCTGTAATCTTTACGGAAGCAGATGGCCACATATTTCTCCTTTGGAGTGTCTGGTGAATTTGAACTGCCACCCTGTCAGTTAGCAACCGAGCACTAAACCACTGAGCTACCAGGGCACCTTACAGGTGTTATAGGCATATAATAAACAGTTCAAGTGCAGTCTACATAATGTAGAAAGTGAGTAGTTTCTGACAATTGATTTGTATTCCTCCTTAAATTTTTTTTCTTATGTATGCTGATGTGTGTGCATACCTGTATGTCTGTATGCTTTTGTGTGTATATATAAATATATATTCCACTAAAAAAGAGGTTGTGTGTTATATACTGTTTTGTAGCTTTGCTGATATTTATTTTTTGTCCATATATAGTTAACTGCTGTTTTTAAAGTCTATAGAGTCTTCCATAGTAGGAAAGCACCATAATTTATTTAAACATGCCCCTTTTTGTGGACTTTTTGACTATAAGAGAAGTTGGAAACCAGCTTGCATTGAGCATTCCTAAACATACATCTTTGTGGGCATGGGTGAATGCTATTGTAGGATAGTTCCTAGAAGTGAAATTTTTATAGCTAATGCCAACTTTACTTTAATAAAGGCTGGCAGTTTGAACCAACCCAGCAGTTCCACAGAGAAAGACCTGTCAATCTGCTTCCATAAAGATTACAGGCTAGGAAACCCTATGGGGCAGTTCTACTCTGTGAGTTGAAATCAACTCGAGGGCACCTACCAACAACAACAATATAGATTGTAGGAGTCTCTGGGTGCCACAAACGGTTAAGCACTCAAATGCTAATAGAAAGATTGGCTGTTTGAATCCACCCAGAGGCACCTTGAAAGAAAGACTGGGCAGTCTGATTCTGAGAGATCACAGCTATGAAAACCCTATGCAGCAATTCTCTGAAACACATGGGGTCGTCATGAGTTGTAACAGACTTGACGGCAACTTGGTGGTATATCAGTTACATGCACGGATATTTTAACCTTCCTTGGATATGAGAAATCTTTAAAATTTTTGACACTTTTATGGGAAAAATGAAAATTCATTATTGTTTAAGATTTCCTAATGACTAGTAAGGTTGAGCTCTTTTTTATGTATTTATTTTTAATTAATTGCTTTTAGCAGGTTTTACTTTGGTTGTTTCTATTTCTTTCTAGATTTGTGATTGCTCTTTATATATTATGTATGTTAATCTTTATGAATATAGAATGCATTTTTTTTGCTATGATACTTTTTTTTTTATTGTGGTGAGAATATACACAACAAAACATACGCCAGGTCAACAATTTCTGCATCCTACTGTGATACTTTTAATTTCTTATCCCTTATATAGTCTCTTTGGTCATATACATATTTTAATTTACATATTTTATCAGAAAATCTTTTCCTTTATTGTTTCTGAGTTTTATATAGTTTTTTAGGCTGCCCATCTTACTTGAATATTATGAAAGTATTCTAGTTTAAAAAATTTTAATTCATTTAATTTTTTTGTGTATGATATGAGATAGAGATCTGACTTAATTGTTTTCCCAAATGATTAGCCACATGAAAGGGTCATCTTTACCTACTGATATTAAATATAACCACTGTTATATACCACAATCTCAAGTATACATTTTCTTTTAAAGACTGTTCTATTCCATTGAGCTATTTGTTTGGTCCTAAGTTACCATCATATTGTTTTAATTATTGTAGTATTACAGTGTATTTTGATGTTTGGTATGTTAGGATTTCTTTTGATTTGAATAATATATACCTGAAAAAAATTCTGTGAGTACTTTTTTTTTTAAATTGTTTTATTATGATAAAAATATGTATAACAAAACATTTTCCAAATTGACATTTTTTACATGTACAGTTCAGTGACACTGGTTATCTTCTACATGTTTTGCAACCATCACCATTATCTGTTTCCAAATTATTCCACCACCCTTAACAGAAACTCAGTGCCCCCTAAGCTAAGGCTCCTTCTGACCGCCTTTCTCCCACCCCTGGTAACTTACAAATGAGTTTTGGTCTCTATACATTTGCCTTTACATGTAAGTGGGATCATACAATATTTGTCCTTTGGTGACTGACTTATTTCACTTAGCATCATGTTTACAAGACTTATCCATGTTGTATCACGTATCAGGACTTCATCTCTCTTGTGGCAGAGTTTTCCATTGTATGTATTACCACATTTTGTTTATCTATTCATGTGTTGATGGACATTTAGTTTGTTTCCATCTTTTGGCTATTGTGAACAGTGCTGCAGTGATGAATAAGATATGCCTTTGTTTCAGTTATCTGGTGCTATAACAGAAATACCACAAGTGGATGGCTTTAGCAAACAGAATTTTATTCTCTAATAGCCTAGGAGGCTAGAAGTCCAAATTCAGGGTGCCAGCTCCAGGGGAAGGCTTTTTCTGTCTGTCAATTCTGGGGGAAGGTCCTTGTTATCACCTTCGCCTGGCCTAGGAGCTTCTCAGCTCAGGCACCCTGGGTCCAAAGGACGTGCTCCACTCCTGGCTCTTCTTGCTTTTTAGTAATGAGGTCCCTCTCCTCTCTGCTCGCTTCTCTCTTTTATATCTCAGAAGAGATTTGACTCAAGATACAACCTAATCCTATAGATTGAGTCCTGCCTTATTAACATAACTTCCTCTAATCGTGCCTTATTAACATCATAGAGGTTAGGATTTATAACACACAGGAAAATTATGTCAGATCACAAGATGAAGGACAACCATACCATACTGGGCATCATGGCCTAGCCAAGTTGACACACATTTTTGGGAGACACAATTCAGTCCATAATAGCCTTTGATTATATACTTTTCTTAAATCCTTATTTTAGCAAGAATTTGTTCTAAATAGATGCCTTTTAAAAATCTTTTGAGAATCTAATACAGATTTTGTTCTTTAGTTTATTAATATATTAATAATAAGTGTTGTTAGTTGCCATCAAGTTGGCTCTGACACATAGTGACATTATGTATAACAGAACTAAATGTTACCTGGACCTGTGCCGTCTTCATGATCATTGGTATGTTTGAGTTCATTGTTGTGGCTATTCTATCAATTGGTTTCATTGAGGGTTTCCCATGTTTTCACTGACCCTCTATTTTACCAAACATGATGTCCTTTTCTAGAGATTGGTCTTTCCTGATGACATGTCCAAAGTAAGCGAGCCCGAGTTTTGCCATCCTTGCTTCTAAGGAGCATTCTGGTTGTATTTCTTCCAAAATAGATTTGTTTTGTTTTTTTGGCAATCCACAGTATATTCAGTATTCTTTGCCAACACCGCAATTCAAATGTATCCATTCTTCTGACTTATTTGTTCGTTGTCCAACTTTCTCACGTATGTGAGGTCATTGAAAAGACCATGGCTTGGGTCAGGCGCTCCTTAATCATCAAAGTGACATCTTAGCTTTTTAAAACGTTTAGCCTGCAGCTCAAATAAGTAAGGTGAATGGATACAATACTGCCATATATACCTCTGCCAATTTTAAACCACTCAATATCCTCTTATTCTGTTTACACGACCACTTCTTGATCTATATACAGGTTCTGTATGAGCACAATTAAGTATTCTGGAATTCCCATTCTTTGTAATGTTATCCATAATTGGTTATGATCCATACAAGTCAAACGCCCCCGCATAGCTGATGAAACACAGGTAAATGTGTTTCTCATAGTCTCTGCTTTTGGCCAAGATCCAACTGACATTAGCATTGATATCCCTCATTCCATGTCCTCTTCTGAATCTCGCTTGAACTTCTGGCACCCGGGTCAGCCATGGTGGACAAGTTTCAACTGAGTTTCCAGACTAAGTCTAGAAAGAAAGACCTGGCAATCTACTTCTGAAAACTAGCCAGTGTAAGCTGTACGTATAACAATAGAACATTGTCTGATATAGTGCTGGAAGATGAGTCCCTCAGGTTGGAAGGCACTCAAAATATGACTGGGGAAGAGCTGTCTTCTCAAAGTAGAGTCATCTTTAATGATGTGGATAGAGTTAAGCTTTTGGGACTTTCATTTGCTGGTGTAGCATAACTTAAAATGAGAAGGAACAGCTGCAAACATGTATTAGTAATTAGAACTTGGAGTGTACTAATTATGAATCAAGGAAAATTGGAAGTCATTAAAAATGAAATGGAACACTGAGAGGTTAATATCCTAGGCATTAATAAGCTGAAGTGGACTATTATTGGCTATCTTGGATCTGACAATCATAGGTCTACTATACCAGTAACAACAAATTGAAGAGGAACAGCATTGCATTTATGTCAAAAACAACATTTCAAGAGCTATCCTGAAGTACAGCGCTGTCAGTGATAGATTAATAACCATATGCCTACAAGGAAGACCAGTTGATACAACTATTATTGAAATTTACACACCAACCATGAACAGCAAAGAAATTGAAGATTTATATGACTTGCAACCTAAAATTGATTGAATGTATCACAAGATAGCATTGATAATTACTGGTGATTAGAATGTGAAAGAAACAAAGAAGAAGGAACAGTATTTGGAAAATATGGCCTTGGTGATAGAAATGATGCAAGAGATTGCATGATAGAATTCTGCAAGACAAATGTCTTATTCATCAGAAATACTTTTTTCTTCCCAACAGTATAATTGATGACCATACATGTGAACCTCATTGGATGGATTATACAGGAATCAAATAGACTACATCTGTGGAAAGAGACGATGGAGCAGCTCAGTATTATCTGTCAACGTAAAGCCAGGGGCTGGCTGCAGAACCGATCATCATTTGCTCATTTGTGATTTCAAGATGAAGCTGAAGAAAATCAAAACAAGTCTACAAGAGCCAAAGTATGACGTTGACTATATCCTGCCTGAATTTAGAGACCATCTCAAGAATAGATTTGATGCACTGAATACTAATGACTGAAGACCAAAAGAGTTGTGGGAAGACATCAAGCGCATCATACATGAATAAAGTAAAAGGTCGATAAAAATAAAGGAAAGAAGGTAAAGATGAAAATGGATGTCAGAAGAGAGTGAAACTTAAGCGCAGAGTAGCTAAAGCTAATGGGCGAAATATTGAAGTAAAAGAGCTGAACGGAAGATTTCAAAGGGTGGCTCAAGAAGACAAGGTAAATACTATAATAAGATGAGCAAACACTTGGAGTTAGAAAACCAAAAGGAAGGAACACGGTCAGCATTTCTTAAGCTGAAAGAACTGAAGAGAAAATTCAAGCCTCGGGTTGCAATCCTGAGGGATTCTATGGGCAAAATATTGAATGAGGCAGGAAGCATCAAAAGAAAATGGAAGGAATACACAGAGTCACTGTACCAAAAAGAATTGGTCAACATTCAACCATTTCAGGAGGTGGTATATAATTAAGAATTGGTATTGAAAGAAGAAGTTCAAGTTACACTGAAGGCATTCACGAAAAACAAGGCTTCAGGAATTGATGGAATACCACTACCAATGTTTCAACAAACTGATGTAATGCTGGAAGTGCTCACTTGTCTATGCTAAGGGATTTGGAAGACAGCTACCTGGCCAACTGACTGGAAGAGATCCATATTCGGGCGCATTCCAAAGAAAGGCGATCAAATGAAATGCAGAAATTATCAAACAATATTAGTATCAAATGCTAGAAAAATTTTGCTGACGATAATTCTGAAAGCCTGAGGCAGAAACAGCCTAGAGTTGTTCCTCAGGCAAGGTGAGGGGCTGAACAAGTGGTTTCTGGGGATGGCCAGGAGTGATTGGCCATTCAGGCCCCCCAGGGTAATTGGTTGATTGCCTCTATTTGCCTGCCAACAGCTGGATGATTCTCTCACCTATGGCTGTAGCTTCAACTTCATCCTAGTAAGAAGAGTAAGTAGGCTCAGTTACTGCAGCATGTGCCTGAGGTCTGGTCTACCAGAGCAGTACCCCTCAAACACAGATTGTGGAGACTGGCTTCCAGCCCCATAAATAGGCAAGCTGAAAGGTTTTAAGTCTAGACAGGATGCAGATAATTGCTGGTAGCTTCTGGCTCCAGTAATTCCCTCTGTGTTGAGCGTATCTGAGGTAGCCAGATGAGAGGGCTAAAGTAGAACTGATAAGCCCAAATGGCTCCTCTTCAAGAGTTGTTTTCAGTAAATTGAGGAATAGCAAGGTAGTACACTGATACCACATTTCTAAAATAGTCCTATGTGATCAGCCCTTTGTTATCTGGGAGAGATCAGGGGCATAAGTAGAATGAAATAATGAGTAGCAGTATAAAATCATTTATAATTTGTTTTGGAATGTGTTTCTTTAGATATTGGAAAGTTAGTGTTTCAGATGTTTGTCAATTTGTAGAATTTCATACTATTGATAATACAATATCACCATGAAAACATGCCTGGTTAATGTGGCAATGAGAGGGAGGATAGAGTTTTCCTCTTCCCTTTCTGTATCCTGCTTAGAATTTCTTTGTGTAGAACCCCATGGTATAAGTGAAAAGTGGAATTTGACACAATCTAAGTGTCAGCTTAATGGCATATTGTGTTTTTGATGTTCCAAGGAAACTGAAACCATGTGTGACTCCAGGAAAATACTTAAAGAATATAAGTCATATAATGAAAGAAAGATTTTGTTGTCGATATCATCTGCCTGGAATAAAAGATCAGAAATTGAGTTATCAATATGTTACCTTTTGATATTCACTTTTTAAAAACTAGTTTCTGAGCCTATTACTTGACAGTATTTCTCTGATCATTTTTGAGGTTTTGAAGTACACAATGAGCATTTAATTTCCATGTTGACAATTAAAAGTGAGCTAGTTTTTCACCTTATAAAATGCTTGCAGGATTGCTTATGTTTCCACATAACTTTTATTTTCATTTATTGATATTACTTTTGTACTTAAACTTTCTACAGTTATTGTTTAGAACAAACAGTGCAATTTCTAAACTCTGTTCTTGAAGGAGACCCTGTAAAAACAGTTGTAGCACAAGAGTTTGTTCACCAAAATGAGAATGTCACCTCTCAAACTGCACAGAAGTCTAAGGAGAAAAAGGTATGGAGTTATTTATTTTTACTATAATGATAAATAGTTGTATATAAAAATATAATAGGTTCATTGAGATAGTTTAATGATTATTCCTCACTATTTTGACTAGATTGGAAATTTGATCACCAATAAATAGCATATTTGGTTTAAAATATCTATTTACTCAAAAGAATTAATTTATAGCTGATTACAGTTTTTTTCTTTAATGCAGACAAGCAAGTGAATTTCTACATCCTACTGTGTAAACTGTACATGTTAGAGTATAAGGCTTACTTGAATAGCAGTGAGGTGGTAATATGATGGGCCTTAAGGTATAAATAATATGGGCATAAGTTTTGGCAAATTTGATTTTTCTGGTAGTTTTTTTATCTGGAATGGTTCGTCTTATAATGAGGATATGCAGTTACTAACCAATGTTAAATTGAGGGTGTAGGCCTAACAGGTTTAGTTCTTGTAGAGAGTAAGATACACTTAAATTGTTACAGGATTTTCTGAGCAAAGCCAAATTGCTAGGTTTTCATTTTCTGTTTTTGTATTTATGAATGTGTTTGCTTTTATTTTAAAATCTGTCTCTAATGAAGTTGACTGAAAATTATATGTTATTTTGTGGATATCAGAATGCAATTTCAATATGGAATTGCAACTGAAATATCCTTCAGTAATAAATATAATAAGTCTCTTTTATATATATTGTGTATAATAATATGCTTTATTAAAGTATATTGACTAAATATAAAGCATAAGTATATGCAGCAATACATACATGTTTTTTGATTCTTGGCTCTTAGAAATGATTTACTTCAACTTGGTTGTTATTTTGACATGTTTTACCTGATGAAGGAGCCCTGGTGGTGCAGTGTTTAAGTGCTTGGTTGCTAAGTGAAAGGTCAGCGGTTTGAACCCACCAGCTGCTCCGTGGAAGAAAGATGTGGCAGTCTGCTTCCATAAAGATGACACCCTTGGAAACCCTATGGGGTACTTCTACTCTGTCCTATAGAGTCACTATGAGTCAGAATTGACTCGATGGCAATGGGTTTGGTTTGGGTTTTGGTTTTTACCTGATGAGTTTAGATGATTAATTTGTAGTTTTTGATACTTAATGATTGAATAGTTAATCCAATTGCAGAGCCTAATACTTGAGCAGTCATCATAGTGCTGCTAAATGTAGCCCAACAGAAAGTTTTTGAATGAAGAATACTGTAGGATGCCATAAGGTTGGTCTAAGCAGAAAGGGAATCAGTTAGAAAAATGCCTGTCTAAAGAATGAACATGGTAACACATTTTAGTCTATAGAAAATAAATGTAAAGGGTGTATATGAAAGTCCTCTTAATGCTCTGATGTTTGGTAGGATAAGGCCCTCTTCAAGAATGTTGGGCTTCATTGCCTTGTTTTATTTTCTTCATTGTGGTAAAATACGTATAACAAAACATTTACCATTTACCATTTTTACGGGTACATTCAGTGACATTAATTACTTTTACCATGTTGTGCAACCATCACCACACCACTGTTTCCAGATTTTTTCATCACTCTTAGCAATACCTGCCGATTTCCTCATTTTTGAAACAAGGAAGTATGAGTCCAGCTTTGATATTTTTCAAGATTGTTTTGGCTGTTCTTGACCACTTACATGTCCTTAAGAATTTTAGGATGAGCTCATCAGTTTCTGCAAAGAAGCCAGCTGGAATGTTGATGGAGATTACATTGAATTTTTAGATCAGTTTGAGAATATTGCCATCTTAACAATACTAAGTCTTCCAATCCCATGAACATAGGATATCTTTTTTTTTGCTTTCTCACATTTCCAAATCTTTTCTTTTCTTTTTTAAAATTTTTTATTGTATTTCGGTTGAAGGCTTACAGAACAAATAGTTTCTCATGAAATAGAAGTACACATGTTGTTTTATAACATTGGTTAACAACCCCACAACATATCAACCCTCTAACTTCT